TACTTCAAACATAATATAGAGGGCTTCTTTATTGATGAAAACTTGATTTTTCAACCTTTTCACTTTGGTCTAAATAATATTTAATGTATGGATAACCGAAAATTATTATAGAATTTTGTTACAATGGTACTTTTCTTATTTAAAAAATATCAAGCCCGTGAAAACATCCAACTCACAACATCGATGTTAATTAAAATCATCGGCTCCAAAAAATCGATGTTAAATTATTAGGCGATTTTATAAAAACACCGATACCAGAACCTTACTTGCAGCAGGTGGAGTCAGGGGACAAGCCCCCCCCCCCCCACCGAGTAATAAATTTAGAAGGACCCTACTTTGAATTGAAATGATTAATTTGGTTTTAAAATGAAACAACTCTTGAGATGTAGAGGAGAGGTTTAATCTGCGCACGTTCACTCGAGTTCCAGAATCCCCTCCCTACCCTTCTATTATACATAGTTCACTGAAATGAAAGTGCCAACAAAGCGAGGTTAGCAACATTTCAGAACTTGAAATGTTCGCCCCGAGAAATGAAAACGTATTAGTATCTGTAAACGAATTACAGATGTAATTTCGTAGTATTGCTAATAAAATAGCATCTCACGCCTTCGGCACTTCTTGTGCAACTTGCAAAAGGATTTGCGATTCTGTAAACGTGCAAATTCACCTTAGAACATACTGTGAAGGCATTTGCGACGACCACATAGCGGTAACTTATATGTCTCTTTTTCTCTCAGAATGCCAATGTAAAGTAACATTTACATAATTGGACGTAATAATTATTTGTAGATCTGCCCAGGGAAGGATCCTGCCGATCATTTCTGTTTTTTTGGGGGGAGGGGATCATAGATTTCTGTTAAATAATTACAATATTTTTTAAAATAATTACATAATATCCGAATCAATTTTGCCAAATAAAGGAAGGTAACAAGCGAAAACTATTGGCCTTTTGGAGGAGGGGGCCATGGATCCCATGCCCCTCCCCTGGATCCGCCACTGGTTTTGCCGTCAGAATAATTATATTTTGATAAACACATGTGAATGATAATTTCGCATTGATACAAAAAAAAGCAAATAAGTAAAAAAAAGTAAATAAATAAAAATATGTACTCCTGAAATAAAAATTAACCAAATTTTCTTTTAAATTTAAAACAATAATCAAATTCTCTCGCTAGTCGTCAGTTTAACACATGCAATGGTTAACCAATACATACATCACTTCATGTTCATATTAAAAGTTGTAAAAGCATGAAGCGTAAACATAATTATTAAGATAACATAAGATGTATCAAGGACAAACGTTCGCGTTAACTGTCTCCGCTATATCTGTGAGTGAAGCATTATCTGTTCTGGCAAAAAATCATGATACTTAGGAATGCCTTCAATATCATTTTAGGTTACTAAAACCATTTAGTGGAATCCGTAGAATTGAAATTATTGACACTAAGTTAATTGTAATTGAAGTTTCAAATGTACGTCCCTGCCAAATTCAATTCGTCGTTGTCGATGTATGCCAATATCAAATCATTTGTTAACCCGCTCACTTCTAAATCTCTTTTCTTCATGTTAGGTTGACCTCACCGGGTTCGAAGGCTGTTCATTTCGTCATTTAACCTTTGGAATGAATGCTGCTGCGAACACCTGCTGTCTAAAACTAAAAATTCTTATCACCAACTCAAAGATAAGTGTTCATTATTACCAAGTAATAATCACAATCGAATTATATTCAAACTTCAACTCTAATTAATTTAGAAATAATTAAACATTGTTTATAAGTGATAGTGTTGCTAGGGTCATTTTTGAAATAGAGAGTGTTCATATACGAAAACGAACTTCCTCCCTCAAGAATCGTTCAAAACAGTGATACAAAAATATGAAAAAAGTATCGAGTTCGACGCCAGCATTTTCGTCCACATCTTCACCGCCTAACCATCTGCATCGAACATTCAAAAGGAAAGTGATATTAACTTTAACAATGACATTTAATGTATTTTATGTCATTTGGATTGTATAATTGTAAAGAGCCTGTAAAAAGTATTGTACTTTAGCTTCTGGGTTAATGAATCTATATCTCGATCGAATCCCCTATCTCGATCAGGTTTTCGTCCAGTTTCACCGATCCTCGAGCAAATGCTGAGATGGCCCCTTGTTTTACATCTGGACATAAATGTAACTTCAAATTAACTTCTCCCCATAGCACGTCACACACAGCTTTTAATTGTTTTTGACATTAATAAATAAATAAAAATAAACAAATAAAAATAAATAAAAGCAATCATCTCCTCGCCTATCACTTGATTATTTACTACTGGCCAAAGCATCCTGCCTCCAACCCAGCATTCAAATGGTTGCCCCTTTCCTCCGCTACTTCCTTTTATACATTTTTTTTTTTTTTTCGAGACGTCTGGAGCGTCCCGAGGTAAGCCCCCATCCCGCAGCCTCCCTCAGGTGCAGGGCGCGGCGGCGCTCCCAGGCGGGCCCTGGGCAGCCACCTGCGAGGGCAAGGCACCGACGCGGTGCGGCGGGGGCCTTCAATGTCAACGATCCCCCGCCCCCCTCCCGCCGGCGCTCGCGTTAGAGGCCTGTTAATTCCTTTACCATTTTGAGCGCGAGTGGGTCAAGGCGACAGGAGCCCGATGCGATTCACCGCGAAGGCCGCGCCCATACGTATTCCGCCCCCGCCCCCGCTCCCGCCCCCTTCCGTCACCGGGCACGCAGCGCCGGCCGGCCGGCCCGACGACCGCCCGGAGGTGGTACGGACGCGTGCGCAGCCTCTTGATTTAGATTATTCAGTCAAAAAAAACAGTGAAAACTGTATGTGACGTAGGGGGGAAAAGATTGTCTGCGCACGTTTTCTTCAGTTCCAGAATCCCTTCCCTTCATTTTAACTATAAATATTTGAAAGATGAGTAAACGTTTAACATAAATAAATAAAATTAAATTTAAAAATGGTAAGATTAGCAATATTTGAAAAATAGTAATTTTCGTTTCTGAAATATAGAAAACTTATTTGCGTCGATACACGAATTGCAAGAATGATTTTTCTGCATAGCTAACAAAATAGCAACTACTCTTACCATTACAAGCAAAAGGAGAGTTCAACAAAACGTTCGCGTAGTGAAGCTACATTTACGTCCAGAAGCAAAACAAGAGGCCATCTCAGCATTTGCTCAATGGATCAGGGAAACTGGTCAAAAACCTGATCGAGATGGGGTAGGGCACCGGTCGGGATGCAGAGCGCCGCAGAATCTTTAGAAATAACCCTTTGGGGGGGGCATGGAAGGAAGCTGGGGTCTGAAATAAGAGAACGAGAAATGTTCGTTCTGGCCCCACGTACTCTTATTTTATTTATGCTAGTGCATAAGGTTGCTTTTACAGAGGCTTTCAAGATTTTTTTGTAATACAAGTACGGAAGTAAAGAAAAACTCCATGCTGGGCTTTTCATTTTCAGATATTTGTGTAATAAATATATGAGTTTTTTATATACTAAAAAAGACATACGTATTTGAAAATGATAGAGCTCGGAAACTCTGTTGCTAAAAGTGATTACGCGAAACGTATGCATTCCGATGTCCTTCAGAACTTCCAAGTCCAATAAATGAGAAAACAATTGTCGCCACATTAATAAAATAATTATTAAAATTATTTGTAAAGTAAATCAACCCCTGAAAAATTATGAAATAGTATTGTCATTAAAACGACCATCAGCTCAATTAAAACCTCTTTAAATGGTGGCAAAATAAAAAAACGTTTTTCAAGAATGACGTCTTCTGACGGTTGTTTATTACGAAAGTGTTATTCAAACTACAATTCTTTAAATGAAAAAATTTATTTTTACTGCAATCTCGTGTAAAATAGTTGCAAGTAATACGTCCACATCTACGAATAATATATTATTTTTAATGATTTACATACAACAAATACATTAATAATCTCGTTAACAGTGAACTGGACCGTTAACTTTCTCAGATTTCGTGGGCACATTCTGAAGGTCGAGGAATGCAGATAGTTGCGGTCTTGGCCGTTACCTTTCTTCCACAAGCAGACAGCGTTTTCCAATGAGCTATTGAACATACGCATCAATCGGTGACGGAATGCATGTTCCCAATGAAGCTTACGCACGTTTACTTATAGAACCCACATGATATCTGGTGGGATATGGTAGCCGGCAATGTCAGTGAACTGCGTATTGATTGCGGAGGCCATGCCCTCAGACACGCCCTCTGGACGTGAGCAGAACGCACCCAGCTAGATTGTACCACGTGTCATTACCTTAAAACATTGAGAGGCTCTCCCGTATCAATGTAAATTAACGTTTTCGGGTATTTTCCATTTTCGATGAGTTTCCATTAACGAGTCCTGCTATTGGTCTGCCGCATCTTCATGACTAGCGGAAGTTTGAATTTTGAGGTTATGCGTTGTCGAATATTGGTTGACAACTCGACAACAATGCGTATTTAAGTGTTTTATCTAAATGTTCCACGAGTGTAGCATAAAAATCGCACTAATTAGCGAGTTGTCAAACAACGGAGCAAATAGACCCCCGGTTCACTACAAAAAAATTACATCCTTATTTCTGGAATGAATGAAAAAAAATATTTCAAGAAAATTTTCAAGAATTGTAACAGTTTACATACATAATAAAATAGTATTAAACGGTCATAAGCTTTGAACTTCTTCTACCCGATGCATTTCTCTGTGGAGAATCAAACCAGACTCTGTAGAGGGTCTTCAACCAATCAGAAATCTCCATTCGTTTTATGCCCATATATGGCACGTACAAACCTGCTCGGATGGAGGGGGAAGTAGTGGACGAGTCCAAGTTGGCCAAAGCCACGGGGGAGGCCACGGGATTTCTGGAGTACTACCATAGTATTTCATATACTTATATATTAAATTACGCTCTACTTTCAATTCAAAGTTTAATTAATAAATAAAACAATAAAAAACTGAAATTATAGTTACCTTTTTTACCCATTTCCATGCTTAATTTTTGATTAAAATGTATTGGGCGAGTCCATTACCTGAATAGACTTTCCCTGAACTGTTAGCTCGCTCACTTGCGCCAAATTTGTTGTTGTGTGAGGACGTGCGTTGAAGGTAAGGAATCAAAGCTCAGCCAAGCGACATTATATTCTTTGTTTTGTCTTTGCTATGCTATTATTACTGATTTTAAACGATGTTGGTTAGACATTTGGCGCGGCAAACTATGTATTATCAGCTGTTTAATGACATGCGGCAACCGGCGAATTTTCTGTCCTCATGGCAACCATGTTGAAATAGCATGTCTTGATATTCATATATTATTTTGTTATTTTTGTTTTAAACTGGCGAATGTAGCAATTGCTAGTGCGAGAATTCGAGGATCCAGAAATATTAACAGGTTGTTGTGCGGTAGCAGGTGGTTCCCTGATCTATATATAGAATCTGTGCGAGGTTTTCGGCTTCGAGCTTGTGCGCGCATTGAAACTTTTTGACAGTTCCTTCAAATGTTCAAAATAGTATTAGTTTTTGTTACGCCTAAATTTCTTGAGAATGTTGTTTAAACTCTTTTATTTTATGGCAAATGTTAAATTCATTGCTGTTTTTTTAGCCGACACTTTTCGAAGCTTGTGTTTTGATATCTCGTTGTAAAGTAAATTCATTTATAAGTTCTCATTGACTTTTAACCGTTTTTAGCCGGCATGTTCCGGTAGGGAGCGTTGGTTCCACGCTGCTGGCTCGATACCATATATGGTAAAGAAAGCTGCCATTGGATGAGAAGCATGCCCTTATTAGTTGGTGGTGGGGGTAGGGTAGGCATGGGAGGGGCAGGGCCTCCGTAGTATATTACTCATAGGCCGGCTCCCGGCTTGAATCAGTCTGGTGCTAGTTCTCGTACTGTGAAGATAGCAGTGTTGCGCTGCTGCGTTTTTGTATATATTACATTGTAAGTTTCTAGTGCTTCTCGAAGATACTTTGTGAATTTGTGTTACGAGCATTTTGTGCCTTGTGGGATATCAGCACAATTTTTCGTGTGGATTTTCGCGTATGTGCTTGTGAGCAGTTAGGGCGGGGCAACCGGCTTCGTCCACACTCCCAAGGATTTCGCCTTATTTGGCGGGTGTTTGCTTAGGGTCTAGCCACTGAATATGGGCGGTGCCTGTGTAGTGGTTGCCGGTGTGGGGCTTAGTCTTGTCAATGGGCGGGAAACCGGTGTGGGGAAACTAGTAGCGAATTGGATGGTTAACTAGTTTACTCGTGCTACGGTTCTCTTAATTTTTTTTTTATTTCTTGCAGTACCCGTAAACTCAACTACTAACCATGTGCGACGAAGAAGTTGCTGCGCTCGTCGTTGACAATGGATCCGGAATGTGCAAGGCTGGGTTTGCAGGCGATGATGCACCCAGGGCAGTTTTCCCCTCCATTGTTGGCCGACCCAGGCATCAGGTACTAGGAATTTTAATATTTTCCTAATAGCTAATTACTTTTGACACGTTATGGAGACTTGACCGTTCGTTTCCTTCTTAGGGTGTGATGGTCGGTATGGGCCAGAAGGACAGCTATGTCGGTGATGAAGCTCAGTCAAAGAGAGGTATTCTCACCCTGAAGTACCCCATTGAGCACGGTATTGTAACCAACTGGGATGATATGGAAAAGATCTGGCATCACACCTTCTACAATGAACTTCGAGTTGCCCCTGAGGAGCACCCTGTTCTCCTGACTGAAGCCCCTCTGAACCCTAAAGCCAACAGGGAAAAGATGACCCAGGTAATAAGTGGTAACTTTTAAAGCTTTTAAATTATTGATGATTATTGGAACGGGTGTTACAAATTTGGTTTTTTATTTTTGCAGATCATGTTTGAAACTTTCAACACTCCCGCCATGTATGTAGCTATTCAGGCTGTCCTGTCACTGTATGCTTCTGGTAGGACAACTGGTATTGTGCTGGATTCTGGAGATGGTGTCTCACACACTGTACCTATTTATGAAGGTTTGTAATGTTCTTAGAAATGTTTCGTACTCTCTATCATATATCCGGACTCTCTAACATGAACTTCCTGTTCCAGGTTATGCTCTGCCTCATGCCATCCTCCGATTGGATCTGGCTGGTCGTGACTTGACCGATTACCTCATGAAGATCCTTACTGAGCGTGGCTACAGCTTCACCACCACTGCTGAGCGAGAAATCGTTCGTGATATCAAGGAAAAGCTTTGCTATGTTGCTCTGGATTTCGAGCAGGAAATGGCCACTGCTGCTTCTTCCAGTTCTCTGGAGAAGTCTTATGAGCTGCCTGACGGTCAGGTTATTACTATTGGTAACGAGAGATTCCGTTGCCCTGAGGCTCTGTTCCAGCCTTCCTTCTTGGGAATGGAAGCCTGTGGTATCCATGAGACCACCTACAACTCTATCATGAAGTGTGATGTCGACATCCGTAAGGATCTGTATGCCAACACTGTTCTGTCTGGTGGTACTACCATGTACCCTGGCATTGCTGATAGGATGCAGAAGGAAATCACTGCCCTTGCTCCTTCCACCATGAAGATCAAGATCATTGCTCCTCCTGAGAGGAAGTACTCTGTATGGATCGGTGGATCTATCCTTGCTTCTCTGTCTACCTTCCAGCAAATGTGGATCTCCAAGCAGGAGTATGATGAATCTGGACCATCCATTGTCCACAGGAAATGCTTCTAAACATTGCCCTTGTATCTTCAAATCACTTTTTTCTATTGCTAGAAGTTTGCTACTTCTATTTAAAGCTCCGCATGCCAGCTGGAGTCGGAAGAGACTTTTTGTCTTTTGTTCTGTGTAATTGATGAACAATTCTTAAGTCACCTGGTTGTATTATAAAAAAAATTTAGATTTGTGTTGAGTTAGACTGGGTTTCTCCAAGTATTCAAAGGGTCTCTTTGATGAAAGGCCTCTTGATTATGTAAGGCATGCCATTTGAACAGTTGTAAGATATTTGGTAAACTTTTGTATCTGGAAAGTGTGTAATTTTTTGTAATACATTTTTCAGACTTTTTCCAATGTAAAAGTTGACAGTTTCCTTTCATATTGGTTCTATTTTCAAGAACCTACCAAAGTGATCACACATGCACTAGGCCAAAGTATTAATTTAATCCCATGTGCAAGACTTATCATTTAAAGATTAAATAAAGACATAAAATTGTAAATACTATGTTGTATACTTGTATGCTTAATTAAATCCTCTACCTTTATTTCCTGGTCCTCCCCAATTAGTTTATCGCATAATAGACATTGGGCCTAGAGATTAGTATTGGCCTAGGCAGAATTGTTTCAATAGTTACGAATATTTCTATGAATAGTTATGGAAAAAATTAGGTATGGGGGTGAAGAACTGCATTAAAAGAAACTATAACGAAGTTCGGAAGACTGATTTGCATGTAGAGTATCTTAATAGGTATTCAGTTGGTTAGAGGGGTCTTATTATTCCTAATTTTACTTAATTTTGCTAGTGGTTTCAAGTATGACTTGAATCGAAGCTGTTGAGGCAATTTCCACGCGAACGTTACGTGTGCCAATGCCTGGCAAATTCATCTGCTGCTGGTTCAACCGAAAGACCGGTAAGTGCATATGATAAAATTAGAAAGCTAATTGTTACTGAGAGTACTTTTTAAATTAAAGGTCATAACGGTCAGTTCGTCGGCCGATTATCGTGGAATCAAAATATGTAAGTTCTAAAATCCGATTATTGGCAATAAACTTTTGGAGCGGCGTTCCCAAAGATTTACGATTATCAATTACAATGTGACACAGCTTAGAAGGAATTATATAACAATTCACCATTCAAATTGTTTTTAGAGTATTAAACTTTTCATGAAACATTTTATTTTAACAATGCCAAATCTGTTATTTGAGATGAAATTTTGCAGCCTAGTTACGGGCGGTCAAGAACTAGGATGACTCGTGATGTTGAAAATGTCCACGTCTCTCAAGTTGTTTTCCCACGAATGGAAGGTTCCTGACAACTCTTACTAATATATTGATTTCGTTTCAGGTATTTGTGGATGAAATGTGGCATCATGGATGAAGATCAAGGATTCATTACTTCTATCATTGGGTATGATATTCAACTAATATGTTATTACTAGGGGTGTAATGAACTTTATTGTGCCATTATGTTCTAAAATAGTTATAAGTTCTGCTTAATTGCGTGGGTAAATTCATCTCTGGATAACTGAACTGGTCCATCAGCTAATAATGTTTCTCTCCAGAAAGCTCTTTTAAGTTACTGACATTTACATGACATTCTTTCTATATCAAAGCATACAATATGAAGACATTTGATAATTTTAAGTTCTGTTTCTCTCTTCCAAATAACAGTGTGTGATTTAAAAAAAAAACAAACAAGTCTGATACGTAGAAGTTGTGATGCTTTGGATTCCGTCAATGAATATATAGACCCATTATCAAAAGTATTAGTAGGTATAATGTATCTAGGAGTGGGGTACTTTGCCACTACGAAATAATTCATAAATAGATGACCTGAAAAATATTTATTGAAGTGTGTTGATGACGATATTTTATTGGAAAATATTAAAACACGAAGGCCATGCTTGGCTTTTTTGCATTAAGCACTTGTATTGCATTCATCTTTTTCTGCTCTCAGAGGCTTAATAAAAGAGTTTGAGACTTGGATGTAAGTCACAAAAGTTTTTTAACGTCCCATGACACATGTTTTTAGCAATTTCTAGTAAAGTAGAACTGTGAGGAGAAAAGGTTTGATGCCCTTCTGAATGCTGAAGGATTTCCAAACAGTCTCTTACATCTTGCTACACACTCACAATGTATGATTGTGTACTTCTGTGTATATAGGTTTCTTGTGCCTTTGTAATCCAAGTTTGTGGCTACTCTTCCTCACAGATTAAATAAATTTGCTTTGCGCAAAGCTATCACACCACTGTCAGCCAGTGCTTCATTCAAATGCAAAAGCTTGGGGTGAATTAATGCATGCTTAGGACCCACACTGAATGCAGACCTTGCACTAATTGTTTTTGTTTTTTTTAATCAAAGTTGTGTATTGTTAATTCACAAATACATACACCTTTTTGTTGTGTGTGTTTAAATTATCAAGGGTACACTTTATATCCAATATATGTTTAAATTATATGTTCAGTGTGCAATACCTTTTGTGTTCTCTATTCATGGTTAGGGCCCCTAGTACTGATCTGTCCTTGGAGAAGCTACAACCGGAATAAAAGAAACTTTAGCAGTTGGGACATTTCAATCATTGGTGCTTTTCTGGAAATGCAAAACTGCTTTTCAATCAGAAAGTAAAATGCAAATTTTGGAGTTGGCCATTTATATTGGATACTTCAATTGTAAAATTAATATTTTGACATGAATTGTTGCGTGACCAAATGAGTACCATGTTAGAAATGATAAGTGGATAATTCTACACATTTCTGAAATTTCCTGAGTTTTACACTTCCCAATTCGTATGGAACTTTTCTGTAATTGAATATTGCATTGTTAATAACGAATTAAAGATAAAATTATGAAGTTGCTTGATATAATATAATTTCTAGAATGCTTTTAATGCAGTTGCTTTTGCAATGTATGTTTAAATTGATTTGTATTATGGAATCATAAGCATTTTATAAGAATGAGAAAGATTGTATGAAGGTTCAGTTATAAAGGGAATTATCAGAAAAAAACAAACATTTTCTTTAAAAAAATTAATGTTGTAGAAACCGAGTTACAGGATAAGATAAATATAGATTCTTGGATTTTCAGCTTTTCTAATAAGCAATTGTTAAATTGGGTTTGTATTTCTAGTTTCCGTGACAATGTCAGAATAGAGGAATTCTTTGAAATTTTATGTATTCACGACTGGTTCTGTTTTTACCTAGGCCTGAAGTTCTATTAGTCTGAGTACTCTGCCATATAAAAATAAATTGTAATGTTTAATTTGTTCTGGAATAAATAATGATATTTGATATTTCCTGTTTTGCAAGAAAATGCAATATGAAACTATTGTTTACATGAAACAAGTTGCACATGCCTTAAAACTCAGGATAATTATAATCGCCATTAGTTGTCTGTCCCTTAAAGTACTTGGAATATAGAGAGAAAGCTTCTCTCTTATGAAAACTAATAATCTGAATTTTGGTGAAAATATATCTTTATTGTTCTGAAATGCCTATAGAAGTGAAAAAAATGTGATCTTTAAATCAGACTTCATTGTTTTTATTTCTTTTTTGTTGCCTTCTTCTACAGAACGTTTTTTTATTTTTTGCCACTCAAGTTTTATGGACCTAACTAAAAACAGTGTTAACAAGAAACAAGTTGCACAGGAGAATTGTCATTTTCATCTGTAGTCTGTCTTTTCAGTCTCTTCAAATATAGAGAGAACTGCATCCTCTGCTTCATGAAAGCCAATAATCTTGATTTTGGTGAAAAGTGTCTTACAATTATTTACACTTCAGTGCATTTAGAGGTGAGGAAATGTAATTCTTAAATCAGACTTCACAATTTTGCTCCCTTGTTTCTCTAGTTTTATGGACCCAACTAAAAACTGAAAAATTCATGTTTGGGACATTTTAGTCAAAGATTAAATAGATTCTAACTGTTGCATATATGACAGCATGTAACAATGTTTGACTTTTCTCTGCTGAACTTTCTTATTGTTACCAATTGATTTCTAGCAGATATTATGAAAGTCAGTAACTTCTGATATCTTGTTCTACCCTATAATAACAATGATTTTTCTCCAGAAGGTCAGACTTTTATGAAAATAAAAATTATTGACTGTGAAAGCAAACTTTTCTTAGTGCTGTGACCTGAAAGTTCAACATTTTTGGATCCATTCTTACAACTGCAATATTGAAGAGAGACCTTTCCTTGTAATGAAATTGTCTTTTTTTCTTTAAGCATTTTGTGTAGATCGACTATCTGGACTAATTTACGAGATGTTTTTGTTAAAACGTTTGATTTTTCAAAATTTATACATGAACATATCTTTTTCAAATACCTTGTCCTATGTTATAATTCAATGCATTTGTAGACAAAATGCTTGGTTCTCATATAAATTTTCAAAGAGCAAGCAATTTATCTTAAAAAGGGGTGTTTAGAAGTTGTGGTATGTTGAGTTTTGATTGAAACACTTTTCTAGTGTGTTTGTTCTTTGTCATGCACTATCTAAAAAGAAATATGATTTTGGTTTCTTTGACGTAAAATTATTACAAAGTTTGATTTTTTGTTGTTGATTTGTTTTGTTATTTGTACCTGTATATTGATGAAAAGATATTTGAAATTGAAGATATTTTTTTTTAATTTATTATTAAACAGGCTTACAATTTTACGTAATATATATTATGTTCATTGCATTGCTGAGGTGGAAAATCTGATCATCTTACTATTTTCAAAATATCACTAATTCCATAATAATATTTTCATAAACACAAAACAAGCAAGAGAAAATATAGTGTTAATATAATATTTTTTGGTGAGTAGAAAATGGCCTTAACTTACTATAGAAATAGAATATGTCTTGCTTTTGAAGTTTTCTTAACTTCATTTATAATAAAAACTACCAAATGTGGCTCAAATGGTGTTAGAAGGGGGAATGTAAAGATGAAAACAATTTTTTTTATTCATGGAACATAATTGAAGGATGTTATATTTTTTAATGAAATAAAGTAGGCTTGTGTGCATTTAACTTTAAATAAGCAAAAGAATGTGTAAAGTAATATGGATTACCAATTAATGGTGCTACTACTGTCAAACATGTATGCTGAGTAAATAGTGTTACCATTAAGTTGACATTAGTATACATCCCAACTTATGGCATATGTATCTATATTATCTATGATGATTGATCTTGTTTTATTGAGAGCAAAATTTACTGTCAAGAGTATTTCCCAAAAAAGATTTAGTGATTTATGAAAAGAATTAGACAAGAAGATTGTGTACTTTGGCATCTATCTTATTATGATAACTTCTTTCCTTAATAATTTTCTGTAAATTTCACATGTTTGTTTCTGCTAATTAAAAAAAAAAAAAAAAAAGTTCACAGAATTTTTGTTTTATCCAATCATCATTTTGTTCCTAGTACACTTTTGCCGAGTTACATCTTTGTCTTTCATTACTTTTGTCCACAATTTTTTCATGCAGTCCTTTTTAGAAGGATGTGAAATTTTGTTTGGAATATATTTTGTCCTTGACTGATTTGGATCAGATTGCTTTCAAGAAAAAAATCTAGACCAAATCCTGTTCAGAGCTGTGCCAAGTAATTATTACTTAAAGGAAAACAAACTCAAAGATGTTGATTTATTAGTATATTACAGAAACTAAATTAATTATGGGTTTTGTTTACAAATGAGTAATTTACATTATACCAATCTTCACCATCTTGGTTCTGAAGATGGGGTCATGAAATTGTCCTCTGGCATTGTTTCAGTACTCTATTTTCTTTACATTCATTGTAATGATTTTCAATCTTCTTGATTCTGCAAACTTTTTGATAACAAGTTGTGGCTCTCATAAATCCTTTTGTCTGGGCAATTGCATTTTTTGATTCTGCCTGGATTTTTTAAAATTAAATAAAAACAACAACAATAGTTTGTGTAATTCATAGTTATTGCATTTCCCTGTTTTGATGAAATCGTTCTTTTGAATTATTTGAACTTCACCTTCCTTCAAGAATGAATAGGTATTCTGTATTTGTGGGGAACTCAGGCAGAACAGCCCTTGTATGAAGCAAATTCCATCACTGCTTTCTTCAGGTCATCTATTAGGACTTTGAAAGTTTGAAGTAAGTCTTCTATGGGCACAAAAGGTAATCCCATAAGTTCCAACAAATAATTTTGTATATATGGTGCATTGTAATTTAAGTAGTGCTCTCTCAAACCTAGGTTCTCAATTTTTACTAATTGAGTGTAGTTAATATGTACATTGAACCACCCTTCCAGGATGGAACAATGTCTGAATGAAATTCACTTTTTGTTGAAAATGCTAAGGATTTACTCCATTGGACTCTTATTCCATCATGATTGGACAACAGGTATATTGAACCAATTTTCTGAGGACAGAAAACTAAAGACAAAATTTTCTGTTGTATTAAAAGGCTATGGATAAACACCAATGGACTTTAGTGTGTTGGATGTAAAAGTTGGGACGAACATTCTTGAAAGCTACCCAGAAATGCTGCTATATTGTTCTCCTTATTAGGATAAAGCATTATTTTCAACAAAAAAGTGACAATTTTTATACAATTGTAAAATATTAGTCACTGGTTTTGCTTGTTCAAGATGTATTGTGGCAATTATGTCCCTAAAATTAATTTCAGATTAAAGATCAAGTTGAATTGAAGGACAAGACTGACAGGCAGTCTTGTGTGCATGCTAAATTTAACACAACATGGTTTGAACTATGTATAGCACAGTAACTATGACACTTATTTTTCTCACATGAAACAAAAATTAATTTAAAAAATTGAAACATCAGTCAGATTCAACATCTGAAGCAATTTTAAATCTTGAATGAGTGGAAAGGTAAAGTAATTCAATAATGACATTTTGGATAATAAAAACAATGAATGAAGTGGTGTAGCCTCTCAAAATTGTCATTCGTGATGTACTACTGGATTTTGTGTGCAAGACAGTTGTGCAGGCACCCAAATCAGGAGAAACTGTCTTACTTATTTTTAATGCATGTAGAAATTCAAAGAAAACTATGCAGCCTCTGGCCATGCGAGAGGTGTCTGGTTTCATTAGATTTCCAGAAATTTTGGTATTAAATACAATTTTAGTTTTGACTGGAAAATGGTTATGCTATTATTGTGCCTTGAGACTGTATTCTCATACATTTCTCTGCTTTTGACAGATGATGTTATGTGACTCCAAGGCTTCTTTTATTAAATAGGGTTATGTTATGGAACTGCAAGATTTTTGATATTCTTGGTATGTAAAGAACTGTTGTATTGTTTTATTGCACTATTAGTGAACATAAAAAAATGTTACTGCAGTGTTCTACGAGAGTACTTTATTTGTTTTTAAGCCACTGTTTTTCAACTATTTCAAAGTTTGAAATAGTTTGAAAATATAAACCAGTGGATTTAAAATATTATATGCAATTATTATGTATTTTTTATTCTGTTGCATTAATCTTTGGCATTCGTGTACATTGTACAGGCAACCAGCATTCATCAGTTCATCTTCCAAAATGCTATTGAGAAGCAGATTTAGCAAAATTTCAACACCTGCTTGCTGAGGAAAAAGAAAAAGATAGAAACAGCAGCAATTGTTAAATTGTTAGGTTAGTAATATGTAGTAAAAAGTAAGCATGTTCGACCGAATGGCTGTGTTCTGACAAAAAAATTTATTTATAAATGTAAATATTAGCTTATTGAAGACTGTATTGCCATTTTTTAAAATCCTCATGTATTGTAGAATGAAAGCTCTTATATCCCTGCGTAGGGCAAGCATTTCTCTACGGTTTCTGATTGTGCTGTATGCCTAAAGGTATATTATCTTCAAATTCAGTGTGTGAGTTTTCAGGTGTTCTTTGGATTTCACTTCTGTTTGAGTCTTTTTATGCCCCTTTATCTTAAACATTTGTGTTTTTAGAGAAGCATTTGGCAGTACTCCTCCCTCCTTCTTTCTCTTGATATATTCCAGACATTTCTTCTAGTTCTTTTTGACTTCCATTACTTCTGAGGTTTTGGACATTTATTCTATTAATTTTGATGTATTTTTATAGTTTAGTAGTTTAACTCTAAAACCAGTTAATAAGAACAAGTAATAAGCAGTACAGAATACTTGTTCTCATTGTAGACAGTCTATCCCAATGAACATGGCACAACATTTTCTCTGAAAGGCATTGTTAATGGTTTATTCATAATTTTTGTACATTTCTGTTGTATAATGTGTAATTATTGTTTCATCTGGTCTTTATCTAATAACATTAATATCTTCTACCGCAGGCTTCACAAATTTTTCACTCTTTGAATTGTAATGTAAAAGTTTGACATTAAATGTGTTATAAGCAATTGTTTGAAAGTAAATTGTGTGAAAACATTTGATCTTCCAAATGATTTATCTGCAGGGAATTTGACCCAGTGAACATTACTGTTTGCATTATTGAAGCTACTGTCTTGAATTTGTCTCATCTTTCATGTTCTTCTTGTTACATTCTATGCATGATCTTTGCATATAGTTCAAAATTGACTATCTGTACTTTGTGCTTGGTACCACTCTGTAACTAATCCATCCTAAAGATAACTACCCAAGCCCAACAGTCTAATCAAATATTTTTTCATGATACACACTCAAGCATTTGCTGAGTGGTGTACCCGCATGAAGACAAATATATTAAGGAGCAGTATTTGGAAAGACCTATGTTCTCTCCAAACTTTGGACATGTTTTTGGAACAGCCGAAAAATGTCTCTTAGTTTTAAAATTGGGATTTCCATTGCATTTTCCTCTTGTTCCCAACCACCCTTATTATAATGACATCCCTCAAATCAGTATAAGCATATGAGACATCATGTAATGTATGGTATTTTATTACAGCATACACTATTTTTGGGGTAATTGCTTTTTTTTTTTTTTTGTTGTAATAACCCTGTTCCAACATCTCAGTTGAAAGTTACTTGGCATTCTGGAAAACTACAGCAGTGTGTTTTGTTGAATTTGATGGTAAAATTTATTTTGCTCTTGCCATAGCATTTCCAAGATATTGATTCTTGAATGCCTTACTTAGTGACCCTGGAGACTTTGAAGCCTTAAGCTTATCTAGTAGTTTAGCCTTTTATTTTTTGTTCTTGATTAATTTTCCCTAATGTTCAATTTTCTTGTGTTCCTTCAGTTCTATTGTTTCATTTTCTTTCTTTCTTACTAAACTCGGTATAATTTTCTTTTTGCTGTTGTTCTCTTTGTACGAACACTCTTTCAGCTGCTGTTTTACTCATGCTGATGCCACATTACTAGAAAATAGATTATTGAGATTTCCACAACAAAATCGTATACTATTTGAAATAAGTAATAGGATGATTCAGCAAGATTTCAGTGCTCATTTGGCAGCCGTAAAGGACCCTTCAGTGCTGTCAACCAGTCATAATAACATGAAAGTAAAACTTATGAAATGTAAAACTTTACTTATTAAAGAGCTAAACTTGAAACTATTATTTTGATAATCAAGGTTCACAAAAAACCTCTTGGGATATATCAGCGTGGAATAGACTCCCAAGTATTTGTTATATTTTGCTACATTTGTTAATGAATAGCTTTTAACTGTTCTAATGCTGAATGCAATAATTACAATGTACATGACATCAGGGCCTCAACAAATGGGTTTCAAAGTTTTGAAACTGCTGCACATGAATGTGAAAGATAAAATCAGATTAGATGGCATACCAGAAGAAAATTGGATAAAACACTACTCCACCCTGTGGAACAATCCAACTCTCAGCTCCAATGTAGTGCTGGAAGGAACAAGCCAAATCTTTAATGACAATGATAAACTAGACAATTCACTGAATATAAAAGAACTTGGAGGTAGTATCAAGAGAAGTAAAAAGTAGGAAAAGCCCCGGACCAGATGAGGTCAACATAGAACTTTACTTATATGGAGGAAATGAGCCAAAAGAAATGTTATTAGAACTTTTTAACAAAATGTGGCAAGAGAAAACAATCCCAATACGGTGGCAAAAGGGCTTGGTTACATTCACAAAAAGGGCTCAACGAAGATGTGTGACAAATATAGCACATTGCTATGTGCACATGTTACTATACATTACATTGCTATCAACAGCTTCTAAGCTATACGCAAACACACTAAAGAACATACTCAATGTGAGAATATCATGGAAGAAGAGCAGTATTGATTCCAAAAGGGTTGAAGCACCAAAGACACCATTTTTACATAACAGATCATAATAGACCAAAGAAGGGAAAGAAATCTACCAACTTTTATAATATTTATTGTTTATGAAAAGGTTAATGACAAAGTTAATAGACAGAAACTCTAGGATATACTAGAAGAGGAGAAAGTTCCAAATCAGTTACTCAATGCAATACAAAGTCTCTAAAAGACAAGAAGATGGATACAATCTTGTATGCTGATGACCAAACTATCGTAATGGATTCTGAAGATAACTTACAAAGTGCAGTGTTTTAATTGACAAAAGTGGCCCAAGAACATTCCAAGAAGATAGCAATTCTGAAAACAGAAAATTATGACAATGCAAGTGAAGGAACAAAGGAGAGCGAAAATAGTAATAAATGAAATTAATGGAAAAAGTAAATAAATTTTCATACCTTGGAAATATTGTAAGTGTATACAACCAAACTCAGGAAGGCCTAGAAACAAACTTAATAACGACTATAGAACACATGGAACAGTCAAAAGACACTTTGGCAGAAACATGGACTTGGAAACAAAACTGAAACTCCACAATATAGCTAAACCTAGAACCGTGTATGGCTCTGAAACATTGGGTAATGAAAGAGAGAGACAAACAAAAACTACAGGCAGCACACATGAGATTTCTAAGACACCTCATGGGAATCACAAGAAGAGACAGACTAAGCAATTGAAAACCAAATGTTTAGTAGAAGAGATAGAACAGGCTCAAAGGACATGGAAAAATCATTTACAAAGAATGAATAACAACAGATTTCCAAAGTTAATATGGAAGTACAAATCAAGAGGGATGAGAGATAGAGGGAGACAGTAAAGAGATGGTAGCAGCAAGAACACTTGGAAGACTAAGAATCTACCAAGAATACTATAATTAAGCAATAGAAACAGGCTGTAGAGCCATCATCATCATAGGCAATTATAGACGAAGTTAACACTTGCTGTCTATTGAAATTTAACTACTAATAGATACTACAATTAGTTTAACTAGAACTTTAAAATTTGCTAGTTTTCTTATACTGGCAATCAAAGTGTTTGTAGAAACTTTTAAATATGTCGTGGTTTTTGCAGAACATGAAATTGTCTTGAAATTAGGTGAGAAGTTGGAAGAGTGGTTACTCTTTTTTTTTTTTTTTTTCCTCTTTTCTTTTCTTTTGCTTGCAGGATTGTCAAGGACATGAAAATTATTAGGAGACTGATGATAAGAGTCAGATTGTGAGTTACCATAATTGACTTTTATCCAAATATTCGATTATATCCAAATATTCTAAAAAAAAATCACATTTCTAATTTTTGTAAACTATACATGGTTCTAAAGGAGTAAGTGTGATTGTAATAATTGTGTGTTAGTTTGAACCAAACAATAAAAGAAAAACCAAGAACTAGCCTAAATTCCAAACTACAATTGTCTCTGCTGAAAAATAGCTATGATTGACTCTTACTCCCTAACACAGTATATATTCAATTTTTTACATAATTGTTGTAGGAATCGCAATAGTAGACTAATTACAGTAAGATTACAAAGGGAAGCACCGTACTCATGAAACTACCCTCGCTGAGTCTGAAAATATTGATTGAGCAAGAATAAATCAGTAATTTTTGCAAGGGGTTTGGAAGATTCTGAGGAAGATTTAAATAATCTATTTTAATTTTTTCTCAAATTTTAGTGGTTAGTAAGGATTCCAATTGTACCCTAAGGTTTAATAAATATTATTTAACGCTAGATAAAGTGTACTTGATAAGTCAACAAATTTATTTTAAATTTCAGATATTTAGATTAATGTAAACTTGAATTATTATTGATAATTGCATCAAAAGTTCAATTTTCATTATCGAATGAGTTAAAATATTCTAGGAATAAGTGTTAAATAATATAATATTATAAATAAGAACATAGAATTAAACGCATGCGATTTGTTGTAAGGTGTGCAAATTCTGGTAAATAATTTATTTTTCTTTGTAGTGAATTTCATTTCCATGCTTCTTCCTCATTATTGTCACCAACTCCATCTTATTACAACAATTTTGATTGGAATAAGACTCTTCAGGCCTGATGTTTACTATTCACAGTAGTGAATGCTGTATTGTAACTTAAGCTTGCCAAAGAGAAATCTACCATTAAATAAATAGCCAATCAATAAATATTGAATGTAGACAAATTGTCTTCATATTCTGTCTTTCCATCAATAATTTTGGATTTGCCTTGCTATCATGGCCTCCTCCACACCTTGTTTCCGTGCTTGTCTGGAAATGTAAATTTCTTTCTTTCCAATATGTCTTCCTCTCTTCCGGTGTTCCACCAGATTAATTTTGCTCATCTTCTATTACCTATGTGCATGACATGTCACATCATTTGTCTCCTCTTTATTTCATCGAATATCCTTTTTAATTTTGTTTCTTATGTAATTATTTCTTTTTGTTTCAAGTGTGCTGTTTCCTTGAAGGGAGGGAATCCTGTGGAGGATCTGCTTCATTGAAGCACCTGAGAACATGGTTGAACATTTGATGCAGTTTGAATGGATCCTATCAGAGCACTTGAGCTGGTATGTGTCCTGCACCAGTTGATTTTTTAGATTCATTCATTCAAAACATCTGAAAAGATCCATATTGCTCATTCTAAATAAGTGGAAACAAGTAATTTGAAGGTCTGTTTTTAAAGAATAGAAATGTTAAAATAGTTTAGTACTGTACTCTATGAAAATTTGACATTTATTTTGATCCATTGTTGATGTTTTACTAGCAAGAGTAATATTACGTAAGACAATGTCAAACTTGTAGAAGTAAAATGAACTTCAACTACAAATTACTATAGATATCACTAGTATTAGTAGAAAAATGGAGTAAAACTGTGTTTTAACCTCACTTTGTCACATGGTCAGTCAATTTGTTCATAACAAGATAAAACAATATACATTAATGTTTGGATATTGTACCTGTATACCTGATCACTACAAAATTAAGTAGTGAGGGGATGGCTGTTAAGTATTTATTTTATCATCAGTTTGCAGAAAAATAATTTTTAAATCTCTTGTCAGAATAGAATGTTAAAAGAACTTTGTAAATAGACATTTTCTTGCCAGAAAGGGGTCTACTTTGCCCACCTTGCAATGTATTGCTCTTTCTGTCCTTGGTCATCCAAAATTGAGAACTTTGATATGATATAATATACTTTAATATCTTATAATAATAAATTTAATGTAAAATCCGTTTTTATCACGAATGTTATTACATAGTTTTAATCTTTTAAATTGAGTTATAGAACAACTAAGTTTCAAACCTATCCATTTTCATAAAAAAATAATAGTGGAATGCTTTTCCAGATACTGCACCAACACAGAATGAACTTGAAGTACAGAAAATAGAAACAAGTATATGATAAAGATCTAACCAAATGTCTCTGTCAAATTCATGAAGTTGACTACAGAAAAGAAGAAACACAGCAGACTGTCCCTGCTGGTCAGAGTATTACGATCTAAGATGTGAAAATTAATGGTGGTTACATTTAGATACAATGAGTCTGATCACACAGAGAAGAAGAGAATCCATCACTAAAAAATCATATGTGGAGTCTAAAGAAGATCTAAATGAATTTTCTAACCATGATATTAGTTCAGGTTCAGAAACATTCAGTGACTTGGAAGATGAGCTCAGCAGCTAAACAGAAAAATGGTGAGAATCATAAAGTAAGAAAATATTGAGGCTACCCATTTCTGATTCAAACATATTATAAAATTTTTCATATATTTTTGAAGCTGTGCGAAATAACTGTGTCCTTAGGTAACTTTGGGGGAGGAAACAAAACAATGGGATATTTCAAAAAATATTGTAAAGGAGAGAAATGTTTTCTTACTGCTGTAAGTACTGATGGGGATGATATGTAAATAAAATAAAAATACAAAGCGAATTTTGGCAGAGAAATCTAAAAATGGTCTAAAATGAAAACTACATGAAATGTGACTCCAGTTTACAACAGTAGTTAGATTCCCTGCTATGTATGTATGGATATTGTTTTAGAGGATCTTGTATTGTTGAATTTTAGAGGATCTTGTATTGTTGATTTTTCAACATAATTTTCTGCAGACATTTAAAAGAATGAGCAGTGAACTGTTGATGTAGCAACCTTAGTAATTTTTTTTTTTTTTAATTAGACGTAGCATTCAAATTTCATCTATGTGTTACATTAAAAATCAAGATTTTCAATGAGTGTGAATTTGCTTTTCTTACGAAATAATGAAAATTTACCTCAATAATTGAAGAGGTAATGGCAAGATCATGACAACTGAGAAATTATCAAAATTCAGTTAACATATTTCAGCATTAAATCTACAAACTTGCAGTTTCTGTACTCCATTAAGAACTGGTCCAAACTCAACTTAAAAACGTAATTTTTATCTGCTAGGAATACCACAACATAAAGCTATTTTTCTCAAAACTAATGAAGAATGTGTTAATGTGTTCTTACATGACCTCTTCAATTAATTACTGATGACCCAAAAATTTGTTTATGCTGGTATTTATCTAGTTTGGTGATGAAGAGAAGAGAGAAAGGAAGGGGGGTTACAAATTGTATATAAGTGAATAATAATAATAATAATAATAATAATAATAATAATAATAATAATAATAATAATAATAATAAATAATATTATAATAAAAGCAATTACGAAAATACATTTGTCACATAAATACAACATAAGATATGACAAGTCAATATAGTCCATATTACTTAATGTGAATTTGGTACTAAGTACAATATAGAAAATTTTAATGTAATTTGCAATATAAAATAAAATAATACAATACAGCACATATTAATTTTGTCTGCAGCGAGGAGGCTAAAGTAAATAAAAAGAAGAAAAAGTTACCAAAAGTTTTGAAATGAACTTGAATCTGCGGCTGGGTCTATCCTTTCTGTCCGTTGATGATTTTCTTTGGATGTTAAACACACAGAACAGAATAATCAAAAGGATTAAACATTTATATTGATGTAGATGCATGTTTATTTTATTATGCATGCATATGGTGTATATATTCTTTTGTACTGTAGAATGTATGGTTTAACAGAAAAGCTTTCAGTTTATTTCTAAACATGTATTTTCTTGAATTTTAATTACTTTTAAATTCACTTGATAGTTTGGTACATAGTGTATTGCCTTCTATGAGGAAACTTTTTTGAAAGAATCCATTGTCCCTGTGAGGGTCATGGACATTTCTTTTTATCTGGAATCATAATTATGAACTTTGGCGTTTAATGTAACAGAATCCTTTTTTCTTAGAAGGGTCTTCTTTGTGAAGATTACTGTACATGTATAGAAGTATTCTCTAATATGTACATGTATAGAAGTTGTAGGATTTTTAATTTTTCAAACAATAATTTGCAGGACTTCTGCTTGTGAGTGTCATTGTACTTTGTATTCATTTTTGGATGATGAAAGTGTGCATACATTTTTGGGAATTTCCCCAGAATACGATTCCATATTTTAGATGTGAATGAACATTTGCAAAGTACACTGTTTGTAGTGTGTCTAAAGTGGAAGTTTAGGGAGACAATTTTACTCGTGTTTGATGAGTTTATTTTTCTGGAACCATTTGACTAGTGTATTTAGGACTGTTTGTGCTTCTTTTTGTAAAGTTGTTGAGTATTTGTTTTTGTTTGTGTAATCAGCAAGTAGGACCATTTTGCTCTTTTGTAGAGTCAGAGGCATGTCATTGATGTGTAAGAGAAATAGTATAGGACCTAGGAATGATGTTTGTGGCACTCCATAATTTATCATTCTAGGTTGGGATAAATGGGTTGAAATCTTTTTATCTCTAATATGCTTGATTGTGTCTACTTGACAACAATTTGAAAGGTAAGATTTAACACATTGATTCCCAAAGTTCCAAGTTTGGATAACAGTATATGATGGTTAATAAAGTTGAATGCTTTTGATAAATCTAGAAACAAACCAATGGGGATCTTTCTCCTCTAAAGCAACAAGTATGTCATTTAGAAAGGTGAAGATAGCTGTCTGTAGATCTACCATTTCTGAATTCATGTTGGGCCTCTGTCAATATGTTATTTGAATTGAGAACATTTTTGAGTATTATTAAAAAGATTTTCTAGAATTTTTGAAAGTCCAGATAGTAAGGAAAGATTGGACTGTAATTCATGCATTGTGAGTGTTGCCTTTTTTAATAGTGGCTTAACGTTTGCTTGTTTGAAAATTTCTGGGAAGATACCTGTCATTAAGGAGTGGTTTCAAATGTGAGTGATCGATTCAATTATGTTTGTTTGAGTAATGTTACAAAATCTGTGAACTTGTTTCTTAACAATTATACATTTTGATGTAATACATAAAGATATTTGCTGACTCTGTGTGGTTTGCTGTTAAGTGCAATTGTTATAGGTCATAGGTGGGAGGTAGTGTGCCATTGTAATGGAAGTTGTACTTTGGATGGGCTTTAGGACTAGGAAAGGAAGTTGGAGAAGTGTGAGTGACAGGTGTTGCCAGGGCGGTAGGATCATGAAATAGCGGTTTAGTGTAGTTGGCTAAGTCATTTTTCTTTGTAAAAGGTGAAGTAGAAGAATTTTTTATATTTTTTATTTTGTTCTTAGTAAGAAAACTGTAAGTTTTCCACCTTGAAATACTTTGGGAAATGTTTTGTTAGCCAAAAAACCGAAAGTAATTTTAGAAATTTTTTTGTTTTTGTGTAATAACTTTTTAATGGTTGGTCTTGGCGAAAAAATAGATATGTACACTTTTAAAGGCCCTAAACTTTTATACAAATTTGTATGATAAAGTATTTCTGTCAAGCCAATAGTAACAGAGCTACAATATTTTCCAATTTCACCAAATTTTCCTTTTAGTTCTGAAATTGCCCAAAATTACTAATGGTGTCTGTAGTGAAGTGTTTTTGAATTGTTCAAGTCATTATATATAAAAAGCTATTAAATTCTAATGTTTTTAATACTTACCGAGGTTAAACTCGTTAATGAAAGTTCAAGTAAGAGTGACAATAGGCCTATATGTTCTGGCAACTAACGTGATTTATTTTATCAAAAACATTTCAATAGAATAAGGTGACTTTTGTTAATTTCTTCTTCTAATTATCACAGATTTCCTTTTCTAAGGTCTAAATTCCTGCAGGACCCTTCTAGACAACAGAATTCCTCAAACAATTTTGAGAATTTGACTATTCTTAAAAATCATGAAATGGAATTTGATCTTGCTGACCTACCAAATGTACAGTGCTATATCTTTTGCATAACAACATACAGTCAATTCTGATTATAGTGAACTTCTGGGGTCTAAGATTTTGGGTTAACTATATCTGATCTGTTCAATTTCAATAAACTATTAATAGAATAGATTCAATAGAATTTCTCCATAAGGCTTGAATTTATTAATATAGATATATTACAAAATACTTTACTAGCATGAACTGAACATTTCAATGTAGTAATTTGTTCTTAAAAATAAATTATTTTCAATAGTTTGGTGCTTCGTGCCCTTTTTTTCATTAGTAATTTTGCTAATCCTTCTCCAGAGTTCGTGCTCTCTCCGTAGATTCGGCTTTGTCCTCTTGTGTCTATGTATCGTAATGCAGTCTTGACGTCCTTAAACGCTTCTTACACTGTTGGAACACCGCCCCACTCCCCAAAGGCTCTTTAACTCGCCTAATATACGAGATGCTTTCGGCAACGGGATAGTGCTAGTAGCTAATGAAACTGATCGCTTTTCTGCGCGGTACGACGGATATCTTGAGGCTGTGACAGGCGTGTGGGTCCTGTCGCATACGTCGAACTCAACGCGCTTTGCCCCGCGGAATACCAAGCAACACCAAAATGGAAACTGAAGCAAGCAATGGCGCAAGCAAGCCCACGTGGGGCACGACTTTTGTTTCCATAGTGAAACTTGCTTGGTTGTTAGTGATTCCGGGCGCATCTACGTCTGAGGTAGTTAGTCCCGTAAGTGTAGTATGTGTTTTCCCCCTCGAGAGGTGGCGGTGATCTTCCTCCGCTGGATGGCGAGATCCGGTGCCGACTTTCCGTCGGCTAGCGGCGTTTCCCCCCCAAACATGAGGGTGCTGCTCCGGTATTCGCCTGGTGTTGATCGGAGAAACCACGGGAAACTAACGATCAGAGCAGCCAGCCTCTAGATGTGTGCGATTCCGTCACTTGCAGCTCGACCCCTTCCCGTGCCCAAATCGAGAGGTATGAGGTGACATTCATTGGACGCGTCTCGGTCTCCTGATGGGGAACAGGTAATTTATTTTCGTATCCGGCTAGAACATTCAAATAAACTTCCAAACACGTGCTTTGATTCGGCAGTCTTAGTGATAATGCCGGGAATTAAATCAACGTCGCCTAAATCTATCTAAGTAGGTGGCATTCATTAAACACCAGTACCCAAATGCATTTTTAACTAATACACCATAATTTCCTTTCAGTAAGTTAGCAACAGTGATGTTGACATCTTTGAGTGAACAATTGAATTACCAAGTAAATCGTACTGAAGTTTGATATCAATTGAGATTTTAATTATCGTATTTTTAAAAATAAATTTGCGAAAACCTACGAACAGTATTGCCTCGGAACTTATTAAACTTGAAGGATTTCAAGTGAATAGGGAGAAAACAAAGCTTGTAGAAATGCTGTGAATAAACCAATGATCTTATGTTCGACTTGGCCCTTTTCCGTTCTTACGTAAGTATGCAAATACCAATTTTCAAATGAATGTGACCATAACTTATTGTTATGAAACTTAACTACTACCTTATTCACATAAACATGCAAAACAGTCGTCTTTTAATGTTGGATTCGCATGCAACGCTAGATTCTTATACAAAACAATAGAGCAATTGCAGTAGTAGAAGTGAACACAAATGAGACTGAGTTTGTGAAGTTTCAATCTCTTCAAAAATTTGGGGAGAAAAATATGGAAGTGTGAAGGAAATACGGGCAAGAATCAAATGTAGTTGTAAACGATGTTGCGACATTATTTTCGGATCTAATTGGGAACGATCTGCATTTGTGCTAATGCAGATATGCTGTGAATATTTTTGTGCATATTAGCAAAAAAGCCTAAAACGTAGCTGTATTAAAACCTGCAAATATTTGTTACGGCGATTATAATTTTGAATTTGCAGAATAAGACCAGTTCATATCTTGTATGGAGGTAAGATACACGGCCATTGGGTTTCGGGATCTTTTGAACGTGGGTATAACATTATCAGTTGTTACGATTCATTGGTAAGTCCAGTGCCAGATACTGAAAGAACGTATTCGAACAAAGCTGGGCATGAAACTTATTTTCAAAACAGTTTACAGCGTCGGCGACGCCACATTTTACTAGTATGATTTATATTAAATGTACAAACATTATATTACTTACATTCTGTAGAAATCCTGAGTTAATTGCTCAAAGCAGAAACGTGTTACTTAAAATTTTCGTGCTATCATTTTCAATTAATATTATTTATGTGTTTATTTGAATCTCTTGTACGATTCCATTACAGCACAATAAAAAAATGTATTCATTTTATTTGCGTTGTATTTAAAATTTATGATAATTAAAGTCGGAATTAGTTGTCGATGCTGACTGCACATCACCAAATTATAAGATTGAGAGCAAGTTTAGAATGAAGGAAGGACGCATAAGCGAGACAATTTGTGATCACACGCCACCACACAGTATACAATTTGACCCGTCTAAGCCCTCAAAACCCATTTTTCGAACTTCTCGTTTGGAGTATTTTAGGCAACACAACTTTTTCCTCAAAAAGTCAACCTATGTGGCAGTGCTGTTTGTTTTGAGTTTTGCTTTAAGGGCTGACTGCAGAGGGTGCCTTGAATATAAATATCTCCGAGAAGAGACCCGCGGGGATTCTGTCGCGCTGCGCAGTTCTTTCGAGTTGTGTATTCGGTGCATCCTGTGCTTCAATCTTAAAAACCTGTAGTGTTTGTAATAGCTTTAGGTATGCACTCTATTGTAGTGTTTACATTATAAATACAAAGAATCGCTCAGTAAACTTAATAATAGACGCATGAAATTTCCTTTACCTTTTTTCCCGTTGGTCGTCTGAACTGAGATATAAAAAGTTCTCGTTTCTTCATCACGGAACTAGGATATTTACGCTTAATTGTAAGTTCTTTAAGTGACATTGTCTTCACATACTGCGCAAAGTTGCGTGCTTAAGGTAATTTTCGTCTTTTCCAGAACGATGCATACTCTTTGCCGGAGTATTTGATGCCTGGAAAACAGCAGATCGCAACACTCGAAGTGAAAGTGCGTTTCGCTTTATAATTCGAACTCGAAGGCTGCCCAGAGGATGTAATAAAATCCATAAAACAGACAGGGTAGTGTGTGCAAATATTAGTTCTCACAGTGGATAACGAAATATTTGTGGTAAGGAATTGACTTCCAATAAGAAATGTTCAAGAAATTGAAAAGTGGATATTTGAAGTTTGTTTTTCAGAAAGAAAGGACCAATACTCGCATTTATTTGTAACATGTAATGACAACTAAACCAAAAAATATTAAAAGGTAGTATTAAATGTGTACCTGCTCTATTTAAATTCTGTATGTGCGAGAGAGGGGGGAGGGACTTTTTTTCCCTTCAGATTCTATGATATAATCATGGATAAAAAGGTAATGAATATCCGAAAATATTTATCAGTGAAAAATATGTAAACATATATATTTTATATGTTCCAAATATGACGCGAGTTAAAGAAGTAGCCCCTGAGAAATTTAGTTTTAGTCGTCTAGATGACCGAAGTTGCGCTCTGTGCGCCGTTGTGGATAGCGCATGGGCGAGAGTCTACAGCGCCAATTCGCAGATCAGAAAATACTACACATCAGTTTTCAATATTTTGTTCGTAATCTTGCAGATTCAATTAAAAGTTGATGAAAACATATTTCCATTTGTTGTAACAACTTGTAATAACTTTGAATTCTTTACATTTCAAAATAAATTTTTATATAATGTTTTAGTATAAGAACAAAAAAGATGTATTTCAACAAATGTTATAAAATGTAAACAAAATCAATGTTACAAACTACTCAAATACCCTCTGCCCCTATGTAACGCTGCCTCAAACTCCCCTCTCTGTTTAGCGTTACGTAATTTATGGACTATTCTCAGCGGCTAAACCGTGAAGCCGATTTTCTCCAAAATTGTTATTTCCCGATCGATCTGGCTGATGTCGCCGCCCCTTGAATTTGTAACCGATATCTTAATTCTATGGGGTACTTTACCCCCTGGGACATTTAAAAAATGTAGCGCCATTGTTTTTTATAAAAGTTTGTTGTTGGATAGCGTAAAGAACTTAAGAGAATGGTGCAGGTCTCATTTTCGTAGAAATGTCTGATTTTTCGAAAATTAAAAAAAAAAAATTAACATTTTAGACATCTTCGTACAACTCCAGTTGTGAAGGTACAATTTTTAGATGAAATGTGTTAATCAAAAACATCTTCAAATATGGTCATGTTGAATTTTTTGGTGTAATTTGGTGACAAACATAGTCGCCCACTCCGAAAACTATCCCTACCTAAACTTTAAAGAAAAAAGTGGAGCCGTTTTTGAGAAAATCTAGCTTTTATTATTTTTTAATATTCCACATTTCTCGCAGTTTTGAGCGAAAACCACTAAAATATTCAAAAAAAATGAACATGGCCTTAATGAAACAACTCATTATGAGCAATAAATTTAATTTGATGGAAAAAATCTTTAATTTTGTAGTTGTAGGAAGACTCCGAAAAAACAGATGTTCTTAATTTTTCGATTTCCTAATAGTAGAACGGAGATATTATCTTAGGAATATTAAAGAACAGTAAAACCTCGCCCTAAATGGTAAATAACGTGACTAGAAAAGTAACTAGAAATGTAAGAAATCTAAGTAGTATATAAGGATATCCAGAAGGTAATTACATTTATATTAGGAGGTAATAAGTTTCCGTCTTACTTTTCTAGGTCTATTTAGACAAGTAGAAAACAACATGACTCAGGGTCCATTCCTTCATTATTGCTTCATTTAATTGCAGAAAAGTGCGTTTATTTCGACATACGCACTTGTATTAATGTGTTAACTGGAAAAGTATAAGAATTCAATTGGTGCACAAGAAATGTGCTCCGATACATGTCAAATGTAAAGTTAAAGCGTTGGTTCGATGCAAGTTTACGTGTCATTAAATGCCTTGCCCTTCAACTCTGAGTATGAAACCACGAGGTCAAGAAATAATAGTTTTTAGCTCTCAATAGAAGTAACACATTTTCGCAAACAAATCCTTATACTTCAGTAGCAGCAACCGTAGTTTTACTTGATTTTCACCAGGATCGCTAGCTGTATGAGCGCGCATGCCTAAATAGCCTAAAAACGGGCTTCGCAGAGCTTCGCTACTGTATAAATACGTAAACTAAGATGGTACTTTTTCGGTATCGAAAGTGGATTAACACGAACCAGCGTTTTACACTGTCATTTCGTTGTCCGCACGAAATGGTAATGAAAATATTTCCTCTGGACGCAGCAAAAAGCGGCGAAGACCAAACAGCTGAACATCACGGCTATGGCAATATTAGGCAGTGGCGTGCAGTCAACTTCAGCACTGCTGGCGTAAGCAAAAAATAAATGTGAGAATTAAAATTACAGTAAAACCTGTCCTAAACGGAATCGATCGGGACAAAAAAGTATTCCGGTTTAAGTTGGTTTCAATTTTATGCAGGATTGTCCATTTTATGTCACTAGTTATATTCATATTTCCGATGTGAAACTAGTAAATTACATTACTTTATTGAAGTTATAGAAATATATTAACTTTGAACATATTTATGGAAGAAATCACCAATAAGTGAATATTTTACATATTTCTAACAATTAAAAGGAAAAACTTCACAACTTGTGCACTAAAAACAATATTTTTTCCAATTTTCATCTATAGTTTTTTTCAACCATTGTAAAACTGGCTGTGAAACTCATAAAAACACACCACCTCACTGCCTGGTGACTGCACCCGGGCTGTTCGCTGACTCAACACACAATGCGTCACAACCCAGAGTATTATGTCTTTCTGATTCCTCTCGCATGGCCGTGACCAATGCGGCTCTGGCTGAGGAGTTACGATCGTCAACGCGGGGCTGGTAGATGCGTGCCATGCCCGTGGTACTTCCCACGCTCAGAGAGACGGGATTGAGTGAATTCCTCTACGCGACCGCAAGGACAATTTCTATGCAGACAACTGAAGCTCCTCGCCGTCACTGTTCGGCTGCTACAACCGAAACTCATCCCTGGGACAGAAATAAAAAGTCTTGCAGATGCATTTATTTCATGAAGACGAATTCGAGTCTCTCTGTTAAATGCATTAAATTCACAGAAATTCCCTTTTATGAAGGATTTTTTCCCTTGAACTTCACGGGCCGGAGACATTTTCCGGTTAAGGCAGGTTTCCAGCTTATACAGGTTCCGGTTTAGACAGATTTTACTGTACAATGAGCCGTATGTCACGATCAACAATTTTATACCCACTGTTGACTCTACCGCGATCTGTGCGGCGCGGCGGCCTTCCGTTTTTTCAGTGCCCTAACTCCAGCTCTAGCGATTTCTCTGGGCCTGGGTGTTTGTACTGCGTATTTCACTGGGCTAGGCGCCGGCGGCGATCACGGAGAAGCCGCAGCCGATATGCACTGAACCCTAGCTAGCTGGGGATGGATGCCGTTCCTCTCCCTCACGCTGCAAGGCCTATCCTGGTCCCGCCTGCCTCAACCTGTCTGCGAACGTTGTTACGGACCTCTGTCTATAGTAGTGCTTTCGTTAGGGTGCTTCATCGTGAGGTCAGCGGTCATGGAAAGGGGCGGCTCCGTTACTGTGGCCTACGTGACCTCTGTCTATAGTAGTACTTTCACCAGGGTGCCTCATTCGTCAGGGTGCTTCATCGTGGGGTCAGCGGTCATGAAAAGGGATGGCTCCGTTACTGTGGCCTACGTGACCTCTGTCTATAGTAGTACTTTCGCCAGGGTGCCTAATTCGTCAGGGTGCTTCAAGGGGTCAGCGGTCATGGAAGGGCTTCGCCACTGTAGCCTACGTGACCTCTGTTGCGTGTAACAACGTGATGACTCATAAGCCAGTACTACCACAATGCAAAATTATTTTAAATGGAAAGTTTTGTTAGTGTAATTGACGCACCGTTTGTCGAGAAGGTTATAACTTATAAAATGGTTGAGGGGCATATATTTCTCTCTCAATGTAACGAGAGTGAGCCAAAATGTTAAGGAGAGATTTTACTATTTCTTCTGAAGAAGGAAGTTCTGCTCGTGATTATATCCTAGAATCCGCGAATTTGTGAATAGTACAGAGTATTGTTCTTAGATAATCTGGGCTGTGCGTTACACAGTGATGATAAAATACTATCGAAATGTTAACGTGTGTTACATCATTGCATTCCTCTTTTAATGATCTATTGCTAGTGAGAAAAATACATGGCTCCATTTAAAAAATCAAAGATGTTACATTTCTCGATACTAAAATATTTCGAACAATATCTCTACGACACATTTCTTGCTCCATGATTCCGGCAATGTTAGAGCAAAAACTACTATTCGATATTGGGAACCCGTTTAGAAGTTATGGTGGTGGCGGGCCCGTAATTGGTGAGACCTGTAGGTTTTATTCTGTATGTTTAATAGATTGCATTTCGTTCGTATCTTATTTTTCCCTGATTCTGTCTGTCTTCATTTTCATGGGTAACACTTCCCAGAGATATGAGATATTCGCTTTTCTTCTCTAAAAAAGAATGTAAATTTCACGGATTTGCAAAAGTGATGGGGAGTTATGGGGTTATTAGCGAACTGGAATTCTGCGAAGAGCATACAGCTAATGAGAAAAAATCGATCTTGTGTGTTGTACATGGTCAATTTTTTTTATAAAAACGAGTTTTATGAAACTCAATATATGTACATAAATGTTCGGTAAATATAATTTGTGACGTTAGTTTACTGCAATCAAAATGCAGTAATAAATGAATGTTGTTGTGAATTATTGTCGAACATTAAGAAATTCAAAATAAGAAATAAAATATTTTTTTGAAATTAATCTTTTAAAAACCTGGCAATGTATTAAATAATATAATACGGTTCTGGAAAGAAAATATATTTAATTCACTATTGATATTAGAAACCGTAGCGCCTCTCGGCCCCTTGCCATGGTACCTCGTTAAAAGTAGTATGTGAATTAAAAGTAAATGTGACGTTTGTAGTGTAAGTCGACGAAGTTCGCGGATTCCCTAAGGTGCTGTGGCAACGTCATGAATCTCGTTCTCTCAAAATCGACCAGAAATGTGCGATTGTAACGTCTGAAACTATGACGTATTTGTGACGACTTAGTGTTCACGTGTTCATTCAACTGCGAATGAAATGAACGTGTCGGTTGGACGCACGTAATGAGTATTTGCGACGCTGCGGGTCTGTCCATTTGCAGTTGACGAGCAAGACTGTTCGGTCGAGGTTGCTTGTGGTTCTCCCATATTGAGCGATGCTGTTGTATGTCTTGTTGCGGCTGTTATGGTGAGCAATTTTAATTTGTTTGCAATAATATTGTAAATTTTTATGTCAACTATATTCTCTATGAATATTATATATTTATATTTCACTGTACGTGTTTGTAGTAATGTTTGTTATACGCGAATTTTATGCTTTAAGCGAACTAAAGATTGTTAGATATTTCCAGAAAGAAAATACATATTTGTCTACCAAAATAATTTGAATTAACTGTCGCAATATGAAACTGACGAAGTTTTTGAGAAAATGCATGGGACTTGTGGATGCGTGACACGTGTTGTACATTTTACATTATTTGGGACAGTGAAGTAGTTTATAGCACATCGTGAATATGAATAATTTATAAAATAGTGTTAACAATTATTTGATGTTTAGATCGTTGCTGTTCTGGAAGAGCTCGGACTCTGAAGAGGTGGGATGCGATGGCGCAGAGGGTGGAGCCTGGCTGGAGGGTCATGCAAGTTTGGAGTAAGATTTGCTGAATCTGCTGATGTGATCGTAAGTTGCCTTATTGAATTTTTTAAAATCTTACCGAGTTGGTAGTTTTCAGTGCAACTTGACCATAGGCCGTAGAATAAGTTTTTATTTGAAATGAAGGCAAGGTTTATTACCAGATGTA